AGAAAGATAGGAAGTAACATTGCTTTTTTTAAGCCCGAGGCAAAACTAACAACAAACACGACAAGAAGTAATGGCTACTACAGCGGAAAGATTTTGAAGATGAGGGAGAAAGAGAAGAAGAGAAGAGAAAATCCTTCAGCAACCTTGATAACCAAATGGATTATTTTAAACCGGACACATTTTTTTCAGCCTGTCTACCTTGCTGGGAAGTTTTTACTGTGTAGAAAAACAGAAGGAAAGAGTACAAACTACAGAATGGAATGGAATGGAACAGAAGACAATAACAGAGTTGGGAGGGACCTTGGAGGTCTTCTAGTCCAACCCCCTGCTTAGGCAAGAAACCTTATACTATTTCAGAAAATGGTTATCCAATCTCTTCTTAAAAACTTCCAGTGTTGGCGCATTCACCACTTCTGGAGGCAAGTTGTAGACACTGGTTAATTGTTCTAACTGTCAGGAAATTCCTCCTTAGTTCTAGGTTGCTTCTCTCCTTGATTAGTTTCCACCCTTTGCTTCTTGTCCTGCCCTCAGGTGCTTTGGAGAATAGCTTGACTCCCTCTTCTTTGTGGCAACCCCTGAGATATCAGAAGCTATCAATGTCACCCACTACTCCTCCTTTTCATTAAACTAGACATACCCAGTTCCAGCAACCACTCTTCATGTTTCAGCCTCCACTCCCCTAATCATCTCTGTTGCTCTTTTCTGCACTCTTTCTAGAGTCTCAACACCATTGTGGCGACCAAAACGAGATGCAGAATTCCAAGTGTGGCCTTACCAAGGCTTGTTTGAAGAAAGACAGGATATGCTTCTATTCAAGGGTGGGCTGCTGGGGGTTCGCAGGGGTTCAGGAGAACCCCTAAGATTCTGCACAGTTCAGAGAACCCCCAAATCCCACTCCTGTCTGGCCCCAACCACCTCACCCCCCCCCCAGGAGTCCCCATGTGGCCTGTTTTGGATGCGGGTAAGTGCAGGGCGCACACGGAGGCAAAGAGAGGGCAAAAAACGGGCCTCCTGGAAGTTTGGGAAAGCCGGAAATGGGCCTGTTCCCAGCTTCCAGAGAGCCTCCGGAACCTGGGGAGGCCATTTTCACCCTCCCAGAGACTTGAGGGAAGCATCTGGAGCCCGAGGAGGGAAAAATGCCCCCCCCCCCCGCCTGCCGTGGTACAGGAGGCTGACTAAGCCACACCCACCATGGCCACACCCACCCAGCCACTGGGCAGAGAACCTTTGCTTAAGATTTTTGAAGCGACACCCCTACTTCTATTACACCATACACAATTAAACAAGCTGCAATACAGTTAGTCGTTCAATTACAACTATTCCTTTAGCAGCTGTTCGAAGTTACAAGAGCCCTGAAAAAAGTAACTTACAATTGGTCCTCACACTTCCCCAGCCCCATGGTCACATGATCCCCATGGTCACATGGTCAAAATTCAGACACTTGTGTTTATAACGGTTGCAGAGTTCTGAAGTCATGTGATCACCATTGGTGACCCTCCCCCCAACAAAGCCAGAAGTGGAGGGAGCTGGACTCACTGAATAAACCCATACTTCACTTAACAACCTTGGCAGAAGGGTTGTAAAATTGGGCCCAACTTACTTAACTTCTGCCTTGCTTAGCGGCAGAAATTCTGCTCCCAATTATGGTCATAAGTCAAGGAGTATCTGTATTGAAATTGTCTATTTTGTCTCTCAATCATCCAGGTCCTGGTTATCCCAAGGGTGTTTTTCCAAAAAGCAACTGCACTTTCTTGGATTTTTCCTCTGAAAACATTTCGCTTCTCATCCAAGAAGCTTCTTCAGTTCTGATTGAAGTGAAGAAGCTTCTTGGATGAGAAGCAAAATATTTTCGAGGAAAAAAAAACCAAGAAAATCCAGATGCCTGTTGCAAAAACACCTTTGGGATTGTGCTGTAGTTGATCAAATAATTAATTTCACAGTGCCCTTCATTAACTGGATCAATTTCTAAGCATGTCATGTGCCCCTCCCTGCCTTCCCGGGTCCTTTATTTTTTGCTTTTCCCCAAATGCTGCTTGGTGCAAAAGGAAGAAAATTAGGCTAACTCCCTCCTAGGAAAACAGATCTGCTTGCAAAACTTGTGGCTGCAGTTCAGCCACCCGCCTTGCGAATAAACCACCCGAAATTTTGTTGGGAAATCAACAAGAAGTTGTTGTTTTTTTCAAAAGGAACAACAGAGTACTTGGACGCCAAGACAGATTATTTTGCAAGAACTTAAGCCCCTCGGGAACCACGAAGGGCTTGTAATAATAATCAGCGATAGCAATTAAGGTAATCCTTGACTTAGGACCACAAGGGATTGTACGATGTTACACTCACCTCTCTCCTAGAACAATGAAATATCCTAGGACAGTGGTCTCCAACCGGTGGGCTGGGGACCACTGGTGGTCCATGAGAAAATGTGGGTAGTCCGCAGAGAAATGTCACCCCCAAAGCAATCAATCCAGGCTGTGTGGGAACACAAGGCTTACGTCGCTTGCATTGCGAATAACACAAGGTAGTGAGGGGGAGGGGGAAAGGGTGGAGGGAGGGAACTTGTCCCACGCACCCCACGCGCCTGGCCTGGCCACTGGGCTGCTTCTTTCCGCTTCTTTCTTCTTCAGCTTTTGGCTGCACGCAAGAAAAGCAGCCAAAGTCTTTCTTTCTCTCCCCCAAACTCTACCAGAAATGAGTCTTTGGGACCCTGCAAGGCCTCCTGCTCTAAGAGGCTGTACTGGCAAAGACTCATTTCTGGTGGAGTTTGGGGGAGAGAAAGAAAGACTTCGGCTGCTTCTGCTGTTTTCCTTGCATGAAGCCCAAAGTCTTTGTCCACCTGTCCCCAACTTGGAAGCAAACTCAGAATACCCTCACCCCCATTTGCTATCTGTCTATCACCTCTCTCTGTCTCCGTCTCTCTCTCTCTCTCTCTCTCTCTCTCTCTCTCTGAGAACAGAGCTGAAGCTGGTATCCTGCAATCCCAAATCAAGAATGATAGATCGGTAATAAAATGGGTTGGAGAATTTTCCCGCAGACTTTTTTAGGGGATTTTCCCAGGGTCTCTGGTCGGTGGGATTTAAAATTATGAATTTGGTGGTTCCTCAGGTCCAAAAGGTTGGCGATCCCTGTCCTAGCAAATATTAAAAAGGCAGAATATTTCCCTTAAAAAGAGTAGAAATTTAGAAGCAGAAATTCATCTCAGAAGTATAAACTCAGCCGCCCCACCTTTGCTAATGGGCCATTACTCTGGCCTAGGCCAGCTTATTTTACATAACAAAGATCTCCAGGTAGAGTTATAGGAATTGCCTAAAGCCCTTTCATTACCTCATCATCCAGCAAGGCTCAACCAAGCCTGGAACTCAGGACAGCCTACAGAGTTTCCCCTGCATGGCCCCATGGGAGTCTGACAACCAATCAGAATACAAACTCAAATTCAAATCCCAACACAGGGTATATAAGGGACTCTGAGCATCTTGGCCCACCCTTCTTTTCCTCCACCCAACACCTTGAAGCATGTGATCGTCCTTTTCACTTTGGAGCTCCAAGCCAGGTGGTCCTGTCCATCATTAAACCATCTTTCCAAACAAGCCTCCATATTTCCCCACTTGGAACTGAACCCAGAAGGATATTTCTTCTAACAGAAGCCCACATTTTCTCTCGTTGAGGGAGACATTTGTGAAATGATTTGGGTGACCCGTTTTACGATCTTTCTTGCCACCGTGGTTAAGTGAATCGCTGCAGTTGATAAGTTAGTCACCTGGTTGTTAAGTGAATCCGGCTTTCCCCCACTGACTCTGCTTGTCAGAAGGTCGCAAAAGGGGATCACGTGACCCCAACCGTCATAAATATAAGTCAGTTGCCAAACATCTGAATTTGATCACATGACTATGGGAACACTGCAATGGTTGTAAGGGTTGAAAGGAGTCACAAGTCACTTTTTCCAGTGCCGTTGTAACTTTGAACGGTAACTCAATGAACTGTTGTATGTCGAAGGCTACCTGTAATTAATTTCTGTCAGATAAAGGAGAACTCAGCTACAAGCTAGGTAATTTCTCCCTTCTTATACCTTCCTTCTTATACCTGGCCATCAGGGGTGGGATACGACAGGGTTAACTACCGGTTCAGGATTTTCGAGCTTCTCTGCAGGCTGCGAGACGCACGCCTGTAAATCGTCATCAGCACGCTGCGTGTCGAGAAGCAGCCTTTGAAACAGCCCTCTTTTCCTGCTTTTTAACTGCAGCTGTGCCTCGTTCGGCAGCTGAGGTTGAAAAAGCAGGAAATAAAGGTCAGGTAAGAGCCCGGGTGGGCAGGTGGGCAAAAACATCAGCAGACATAGAACCGGTTCTATGTCTGCTGCTCTTCAGAGCTACCGGTTCTACAGAGGTGGACAGAACCGGTAGAAACCCACCCCTGCTGGCCATCCTGAAAATGGAACAAAACCAGGGCTGGGCTGCTGGGGTTCAGGAGAGCCCCTAGCTAAGATTCTGTGCAGTTCAGAGAACCCCCAAATTTCACTCCTGTCTGTCCCTGCCCACCCCTCCCCTCCCAGGAGTCCCCATGCGACCCATTTTGGATGCAGCGAAGTGCAGGGCGCACATGGAGACTCGGGGAGGGCAAAAAACAGGCCTCCCGGAAGTTCGGGAAGGCCGGAAATGGTCCCGTTTCCAGCTTCCAGAGAGCCTCCGGAGCCCGGGGAGGCTGTTTTCGCCCTCCTGGAGGCTCAAGGAAAGCCTCCAGAGCCCGGGAAGGCGAAAACGCCCCCTCCCCTGCCATAGTGCAGGAGGCCGACCAGGCCACGCCCACCATGGCCACGCCCACCCAGCAACCAGGCAGAGAACCTTATGCTAAGATTTTTGAAACCCACCCCCGGACATGAATATTACAACTCTACGCTTATCTACCTGGGTATAAATTCTAAATAAAACAAATGAACACACACAGACACACAAACACACTACAACAAGAACAAAGAACATAGAACAAAGAATAACAGGGTCGGAAGGGACCTTAGAGGTCTTCTAGTCCAACTTCATGATCAAGCAGGAGACTTTATCCTATTCTGGACAAAATGGCTGTTCACTCTCTTCTTAAAAACCTCCAGCGATGGAGAATATTTCACTTCTGGGTTACCTTGTCCTTTTTTCCTCTCCAGTCCAACCTGACACGTGAATGAATCAGAACGGGAAAAACAGGTTTTCAGAGATCTATCGAGGCTTTTCAACATGCTTATTTGACTTCTGCCAGAAGCACCCAGCTTTTTCCTCCGAAAAATTTCCTCAATCCAAAAACCAGTTTTCCCTAAAGCTCTGCCTACCCAAAAACCTTCTGTTCAGGAAAGACCTAGGAGATATTTCCAGATAGATTTCCAAAAGAGATCAGAGCGGCTTCCTGTAAACAAGAAATTTAATACCCCAGAAGCCAAACAAGGCTGACGTGACCTTTTCCCATTCATTACCTCTTCAAGCATCAGAGCCTATGTCCGTCAGTCAGTGGTAGCCAGTGCCCGTTTGCCGGGAGAAAGCCACACAAACAGTTCCCGATTCTAACACGTTCACACCAGGAAACTAACCCGGTTATGCAATCAACCCGTATTATAAACTGATCAAAATAGGAATAAACTAATCGAAACATGGAATAAACTAATCAAAAGCATTGGGTGTTCAGAATTCTTAAATCTACAAAGGAACAAACGGCAGCTTGTAATCCATCTGGTGAAGCACGCTGTGTGAACCCTAAAACTTACATATCAGGCAGTCCTCGACTTACAAGAATTCATTTAGTGACATTTATTTACGATGGCCCTGAAAAAAAGTGACTTACGACCGTTTTTCACGCTTACGACCATTACAGCACCGTTGCAGTCACGCGATCAAAATTCAGACGCTTGGCAACTGACTCATATTTATGACGCTTGCAATGTCCTGGGGACCTTCTGACAAGCAAAGTCAATGGGGAAACCAGATTTTCTTAACAACCATGTCACTAACTTAACCACCACACTTAACAAATGTGACAAGAAAGGTCATAAAATGAGGCGTTTCACTTAGCAGCAGAAATGTTAGGCTCAATTGTGGTCATAAGTCCAGGACTACCTGTATTCCCATTTAAAAGAGCTGAAGAGCAGAAAGAGCTGTGGAAAAACTACTTTGGGCACTTGGGAGCAAATGTTGCCAGTCCTGGTTTTACACAGCTAACGCACCTGACTTGCCTTTAATCATCCCGATTTGGGGAAAATCTATGTCACCCCTTATCAAAACAGCTTCCCTTATGTGCAGCCAGAATCTGAAAGTAACATTTAACACAGCATAGGACTTAAGCAAAATGGTTCGGATGAGATCTGCGTATGTGGGGCTGATTGGGGTAGATTGCCGGGTTTGACACCGAAAGATAATTTTATTATCATCGTTTATCTATATCATAAATTATTGTATTACATTCCAATTTCATTTTAAATGGTACTTTATCCAATTCCATTTTACATTGCTTTTATCAACTTTTAGTAATAATTTGTTTCTGCACTTCGAGGTGGCCCAGGGGGCTAATCAAATCAATCAATACATGTAAAATGTAAGTGTAACCCACAATGTAAATGCTTCTAAGGGAAGCGGTGAAAGCTGGAAGCTGTTAGGCAGCTGATGAAAACAGCCTTTCTCAATTGACATCTTGCAGATGTGCTGGGATAAGAACTCCCAGAATCCCAAGCTTTGGTGACAAGGAGATGTCGACAACTGCTGTCCCAGCACATTGGAGACTGCCAGATGGCAGAAGGTGGGATTAAGACGTGCTTTCATAGAGAGACTTTAAGCAGGGTGCTTATACAGGTAGTTCTTGACGTATGGCTGGTTGCTAAGTAACTGTTCAAACAACAGACACTGCCCCCCCCCAAAAAAAGCTACCTATGACCTGATTTTGAAACTACAAAGATACTCCTGCAGTCCTGTTATCCCATTGACAACTGGCTCAGCTTTATAGCTGTTTGCAGCATCCTGCAGGCACCTGGCTGATTTTTGAGGGGTTATTATTATTTCCCAATTTCCAGTGTTTACTTCCATTGTCAGGCAAAATATGCCCCCTGGATAAAATGGGGGAATATTTGCTTAGCAACCACACTCTGTTCGCTTAGCAACCATCACAAAAAGGCATAAAATCAGATCCAGTCCGATGGTGACTTGCTTAATGATTGCAATGACTTACGGCTGCAACGCCAGGCTCAATTACCATACGTACTACCGGTATGTGGTTCCCTTTTTAAATATACACTCACACACACCTTTAACTCTGTACTGATTTCTGGTAACTGCTTTCATCAGTCCCTGCAGCTTTTATTGGCAAGATTTTTGAAGGAGCCTTTGCTACTTGCATTGCCTTCTTCTTCCTAGGACCAAGAACTGGTCCAGCACCACCTAGCTGGCTTTGTGCTCAAGGTGAAACTAGAATTCACCATCACCTGGTTTCTAGTCTAGTGCCTTAACCACAATACTACACTGGCTCCAGCTACAAGGAACGAGTTTGTCGTGCAGTTGAATAGAGAAGACGACTAAATAAAAGCAAGGATTGGTGCCCTGGTGGCTGATGTCAGAGCAATCCCGAACTCAGCACTTGAAAAGTTAACCCTTCTTGCCATTTGCATCACCAACATCTTCCTAGAGCCGTGGTGGCGCAGTGGTTAGAGTGCAGTACTGCAGGCTACTTCTGCTGACTGCCGGCTGCCTG